TCCCGATAGCCAGCTAAACGCGTGTCCTTCGCTCCACGCATCGCATCCGTCCGATTACCGTGGCGTCGCGTTTCCCCGCGATCTGCTGCCGTCGCGCCTTAGCTCACGCAACCGGCAGTCGTCCCGATCAATCGCGGCTCGGCTTTAGGGGGTTGAATTCCAGTTTCCCGCCATCATGTCGTGGTGTACGATCGAGTCGGATCCAGGTGCGTGCGTGGATTAGTAGCTTCGCTCGGTGCTTGGCTCGGTGCTTGGCTCGGTCCTTGGCTCGGTGCTTGGCTCGGTGCTTGGCTCGGAGTGTGGCCCCGTTCTTGGCGTAGTGCTTGGCCGGGAGCTTGGCTGGGTTTCTGGCTGGGAAGGTGACCTGCGGAAGAGGACACCAGTTAGGTGCCATTGAATTCGATACGTGGCAGCAACTTAGGATTCAACACCAGTAGTTGTTGGTAGTGCTTGGCCGGGAGCTTGGCTGGGTTTTTGGCTGGGAAGGTGACCTGCGTGGTGAACTCCCTTCGCTAGTGTAACTCGGTGCCTGGCCTCACTGGATTCCCTCTTCTACTCATTCGCTCGCACTTGCAATGCTGACCCCTTTGCCCGCGCCCCCACTCTCTTCCCCTTTGCCCCCGCCCCCTTCACTGGATTCCCTTCCCTCTGCTACTGATTCGCACTTGCAACGCTGACCCCTTTGCCCGCGCCCCCACTCTCTCCCCGCAGGGTTGGTTACGGAGCTAGTGCAGCAGATGCAAGTGTCACCAGCACTTCTGATTTCCCCACTCTCTCTCCACTCTCTCCCCACTCTCTCTCCACTCTCTCTCCACTCTCTCTCCACTCTCTCTCCACTCTCTCTCCACTCTCTCTCCACTCTCCCCCCACTCTCTCCCCACTCCCCCCCACTCTCTCCCCACTCCCCCCCACTCTCTCCCCCCAGGGGTGTTCACGGAGCTGATGCAGCAGATGCAAGTGAAGGGTGTGCAGGTATGGGCGTGCAGGTATGGGCGTGCAGGTATGGGCGTGCAGGTATGGGCGTGCAGGTATGGGCGTGCAGGTATGGGCGTGTAGGTATGGGCGTGCAGGTATGGGCGTGCAGGTATGGGCGCGCAGGTATGGGGCGTACAGGTATGGGCGTGCAGGTATGGGCATGCAGGTATGGGCGTGCAGGTATGGGCATGCAGGTATGGGCGTGCAGGTATGGGCATGCAGGTATGGGCGTGCAGGTATGGGCATGCAGGTATGGGCGTGCAGGTATGGGCATGCAGGTATGGGCGTGCAGGTATGGGCATGCAGGTATGGGCATGCAGGTATGGGCATGCAGGTATGGGCATGCAGGTATGGGCATGCAGGTATGGGCGTGCAGGTATGGGCATGCAGGTATGGGCGTGCAGGTATGGGCATGCAGGTATGGGCATGCAGGTATGGGCGTGCAGGTATGGGCATGCAGGTATGGGCGTGCAGGTATGGGCGTGCAGGTATGGGCATGCAGGTATGGGCGTGCAGGTATGAGGCATGCAGGTAACTTTTCATGCTCATCCATTTTCCCTCTCCTCCCCTCTCACTCTCGCACTTACTCATGCTGTCACTTACTCCCTCACTTTCTCACATCCTCACTCACATCCTCCCTCACTCACTCCCTCACTCCCTCTCAGGTGGAGGAGCTATACAGTCTGGATCTAGACGCCCTCAAACAGCTCAGGTACTTTCAGGTGAACTCTCAGGTGTCTTTGTGTACCACCAGGTGAATTATCAGTCGCAGCACCTGCTGGGTAAACACTGTTTACTACTCTACACGGCCTTACCCATTGATTTCCTATCATGGTCCAATCACAACCTCTTTCGCCCCCTCTTCCACTCCTTCCGCCTCCTCCTCTGCTGCCCGTTGCACGGTTGCAGCTTGCTTCTCAAGTGAAGGCAAGACGGTTCTAAGAGTTCGATAGTTTTCTGTCTGATCCCATTTTATCGCCCATTGGTTCGACTCAAGAATCAACTCGATTCCATCACCTTTACTGCTCTGCCTCCCCCTCCCCACGCTCTTCCCCCCAGCCCCGTGTACGGTACGGGCTCAAATTCCTCTTCAAGTGGTATCCAGGCAACTTGTGAGCCGACGCAAACCTGACTTTCCATAACCTTCCCTCTCCCTCCCTCTCCCTCCCTCTCCCTCCACACCAGCCCCGTGTACGGGCTCATATTCCTCTTCAAGTGGCGCCCGGGCGAGCTGGACACACGCCCCACAGTCGCCGACTCTGCTGCTCCAGGCGTGTTCTTTGCCAGCCAGGTGGGGGTGGGATGGTGTGGAGAAGGGTATTAGGAAAGGGTGCTGCAAGGTGTGTAGATGGTCCTGGCAAGCGGGCGAGCTGGACACACATGTCCCACAGTCGCCGACTCTGCTGCCCCAGACGTGTTCTTTGCTAGCCAGGTGCGTCTGGGTGGGTGCGGCACGGGAGAGGGAGGGGGGGCGGGAGCGGTAGAGGGAATTAGCCTTTCGCTTGCTTGCAGCACTGCAGCAGTGCAGGTGTGAGTGCTGAGCCGAGCTGATAGTATGGTTGTTCGATATAGCATGATTGGAATGGAACAGAATGTACTTTCTACCTGTCACTTGTATGGACTTTCTGGTAAGAAGTGGTTTGTTTGTCAAGTTCAAGAATGGAGCAGCAGCTTACCCAAAAACTGCATTGTCATTAATAACCTTTCTCGTTTCTTACTTCACACACTCCTCCTCGGCCTTCCCTGCTCAGGTGATCAGCAACGCGTGTGCGACCCAGGCGATCATATCAATCCTCCTAAACGCATCCAACCGCATTGAAATTGGTCCAGAACTCTCCACACTCCGCGATTTCACGCGCGACTTTCCCCCCGAGCTGAAGGGACTGGCGATCAACAACAGTGAGGCGATCCGTGCCGCCCACAACAGCTTCAGCCGCCCGGAAGCCATAGTAGCTGCTGAGGAGGCCCGGGCGGCAGAAAAAGACGACGACGTGTATCATTTCATCAGCTACGTGCCGATCAATGGGGTGCTGTATGAACTGGACGGGCTCAAGCCCGGACCTATCCGGCTTGGGGAGATTTCAGGCTCGGGAAAAGGTTCGGGTGGTGATCCAGGAGAGGAAAAAACAGACGTGAAACCAGAGGGAGGCATGGAAGGGGGAGAAGGAGGAGGGGCAGGAGCCAAGGGGGGGAACAAGGAAGGCAAGAGGGAGGGGGAGGAGGAGGATGACATGGCATGGTTGCGCATGGTGCAGCCGGTGATTCAGCAGCGCATTGACAAGTACGCAGAGAGTGAGATCCGGTTCAACCTCATGGCTGTGGTGCGCAACAGGAAGGAGGCGCTGGAGGAGCGGCTGGGGGCTCTGAGGGCACGGAAGGAGGGGCTGTTGGGGGAGATTGAGCGGCGAGGGGGAGGGGGAGGGGGAATGGAGGTGGATGGGGGCGATGGGGCGTTGGAGGGGGAATTGGCGGAGATTGAGATGCAGATTGCGCACGTGCAAGGTGGGTGAGACCCCAGTTGTGGCGCCTTATAAGGGAAGAGGGATGGAGAGGCCTGTGCAAGGTGAGAGATGGTGAGGTGCGGAGGCAGTGCAAAGTGGGAGGCGGGGAGGTAGTGCAAAGTGGGAGGCGGGGAGGCAGTGCAAAGTGGGAGGCGGGGAGGCAGTGCAAAGTGGGAGGCGGGGAGGCATGTGCAAAGTGGGAGAGACTTGTTTTGCAGCCTATCGTTGTGTGTGTGTGTGTGTGTTTTTTTTAGCTTTTCAACCTTCCCCACCGTCTCCCCTCTTCCCCCCCTCCGCACTGTCTTGGCAGATTCAATAACAGGTAAGGAGGAGACATGGAGGACGGGAAACACTCTCGTTTATATAAATCCTTTTGAACCCTCCCCCCGACCCCCCCCCTCTCACCACCATTGTTTTCCAGATTCGATAGCAGGAGAGGAGGAGAAGTACCGGCGGTGGCGGACGGAGAACATTCGCAGGAAGCACAACTACATTCCCTTCCTCTTCAACTTCCTCAAGATTCTCGCCGAGAAGAAGCAGCTTCGACCATTGATTGAGCGAGCAAGGCAGCCCGCCTAGATGGGTGCAATGTTGTAGGCATTGGTGCTACTATCGTCTGCATATAAAATGAGTTTGCTTACTTTCAACCGCTTTAGAGGTCTGATTCTTGATCATATACCGCACGCCATCAAGACCAGTAGCATCCTACCAAAGCAGTGACCAGGTCGTAACATAACGACCGTTCTCTACACTTGCGGTCAAATCAATGTGCGGTGTAGTCTGCATGACTTTACACTACGACGAAGCACTCCCATTGGGCCATTCTGATTTGGGATTCTGGTCATGCACGGTACACTGTGGTACGGTGCGATTCTGTGTGGTAATGTTGCGGCGTCTGCTTCCTCCTCATCCACAACATGAATGAGATCACCTAGCTCTAGGCTCGAAAATCCCAAAAACCAAATCCCGTTGCCAACTAGTTTCTGAGCCCTCCATACTGACCTCTCTAGACATGGAAGCAATGGTCGATTCCAACCAGGCGGTAGAAGCCAGCGCTATAGAGTCAGCTTCGATCCATCAATTGTCGGACGATCTGCTCGGTCGAATCTTCAGCTACGTTGCACCGACGCCACGTGTCGACTCCTCAGCTCCCCATCCGCAGCAGCAATCTCGTGGTCAGAACTCAGGGTTTGTGTTTCGCTACGTCGAATCAGAAAAAAATCGGCCGCTTTTCAGTCCACCGAGCATAGACTTGAAGCCCTTATGGCGGTCGAAATCGAATCTTCTGGGTAGCTTCATTCTCGTCTGTCGCCATTGGCACCGCGTCGCATGCGCGACTCGATCGCACGTCGCACTGTCGCAGAACCGTCGGCTGTGCACCGGACGTTTCTTGAAAGGTCTCCCTTCGTTCCCGTCGCTGAGATCGCTCACCCTGCCAAACGGCAGCCTCTCATTGGCCAACGATCATTTCTTGACCCAGCTAGTGCCACGTGTCCATCCCTCGTTCAACTCCACCTGGGGGACATGGGCGAGCCGCGATTGCTTCCTAGTCTCAGAGGCATTGCGACGAAAGGGCCTCAATGGGATCCCCGGGTTTCTTTCACTGCTGCCGGGCTGGCGGTTTTTTTCTCCTCCTGCCCGCGGCTCGAGTCTCTGCAGCTGCACTGCCCGCCTAATCTGACCCGCCTCCCTCCGTCAATCTGCGAGTTACATCACTTGACGGCGCTGGTGATCACTGGGTATGGACTGAGGCGCCTTCCTGACGGTTTCTGTCAGCTCTCCGCTCTCGTCCGTCTATCTATTCGCTCGGAATCCCTGTCGAAACTTCCAGCCTGCTTTTCAACGGGAACGGACGTTGACGGAGGTCGTTCTAACCAATCAGACAACTATTCTGACGACGAATGGTCGTCAGACGAGGACTTCAGTAACAGCGACTCAGATCAGTAGAACAAAGCTTCGTCGATTCTTCCAGTCACCTCCCTCCCGCTCCCACACAACCCCCCTACTCCCCCACCTCGTCTCTCCACACTCTCCTCCCTCCGCCACCTTTCCCTGACCCGCCATTTCCTCCGCTCCCTCCCCGCAACCCTCCCCGCCGCGCTCCCCCTTCTCGAGTCCCTCGAGCTCCGCGAGTCCTATTATATTTCCGCCATTCCCCTGCGCCTCCCCGCGCGCCTCCCCCGCCTCCGCGCGCTCACCCTCGGCTATCTCCCAAGCCTGCGCGCTTCGCTGCCGGCGATCCTCGCCGCTGATCCCCCTCCCGCCGCAGAAGCCGCCGCTCCCCCGTCCGGGGAGACCGCAGCCGTAACAGAAGCCGATGGAAACTCTGGGGGAATTCTGGAACGGGGCACGGAGGAGGCTTATAGCGGGGCTGATCGTAAGGAGTACGCGGAGGGGTTATGCCAGGGATTAGAATGTCTGGAGTTATTCAGTTAGGGACAACTCAGCGAAATCTCAGGGAGCACTCTCGCTGCCTTATCTCCGTCCCTGGCCCACCTCACTCTAGCGGACTGCTCCTCGCTCTCCTCCCTCCCAGACGAGCTCTCTCTCATGCCCAACCTCCGCTCCCTCACTCTCTCCAGCCTCCCACGCCTCTCCTCACTCCCCTCCTCCCTCCACCTCCTCTCCCACTCTATCCGCGACCTCAGCATCATTTCGTGTGACTCCCTGCAGGCGCTTCCCTGCTCCCTCACGCTTCTCTCCTCGCTTTCTTCCTTGCACCTTTCCGGCTGTGCCTCTCTCACCACTCTCCCTTCTCCTCCTCTTCCTTCACCACTCAGTGAAGCGACTGCAGGCAGCCACAGCTCCTCCCAGGAAGCAACAGCTCCTCACCTCGCCACCGGCGTTGCCACCAACAGCAGCAGCAGCAGCAGGGGCAGAGGCAGATCTCCCATCCTGGTGTTCCTTCCTTCGCTCACAAGGCTGCGTGTGTGCCGCTGTAAGCGCCTGTCAGCCCTGCCCCATGCCTGGCAATGGCTGCCGTTGCTGCAGCATCTGGAAGTGGACTACAACGCTCGTATGGAGGCACTCTTTGAAGGGGATAATACTGTTCATGCCGCCATGATGCCTCCTTGCCACACTGCGTCGGAGGCTGACGTGTCTCCTCCCCCCCCCCTCGCCGCCTCCTCCCTCCTCCCCCGCCCCTCTCCCCTCTCTCCGCTCCCTGACCATCTCGCAATGCGTCCGCCTCTCCCTCCTCCCGTCCTTCCTCTCCCGCCTCACATCCCTCCACCACTTGACCCTGTACCGACTCTCTTCCCTCAGCCGCCCGCCGCCTCAAATCACTCCCAACGCGGCTGCTACAGCCAGCCCTGCTGCTACAACTGACTCTGCTGCTTCAACCAACTCTGCCGCTACATCCGACTCTGCTGCTACTACAGCCGACCCTGCTGCCGAACCTGACATTCCTACTGTTTCCGGCACGGCCACTGTGACTGGTGCTGCGAGGATAACAGGCGAAGATGGTTCTACCGGCATGGTCGTGATAACCGGCACTGTTTTTATACGCGGTATTGCATTGTTGGCTGGTACTGCCACCATAAGCGGCACTGCTACTATATCAGGTCGTGCAACCATTTCTAGTGCCGCTGGTGCAATCGGCACTGCAGACGTACGGGGCACCGCTGATGTAACCGGCACGGCTGATTTAACCGCCGCTGCCGATGTAACCGGTACTGCTAGTGATGCAATGACTACGAATATGACAGGCGATACCAATTCTGAGAGCAGTTCTGCTGGCGCCGACAGCCAGACACCGGTGCTAAGGGCACCCCTCGATGGGAGCCCTATAAGAGCAATTAGCTCTGCTGCTGCTGTTGCTGCTGCTGGTGCGGGTGCTGCTGTTGCTGGTGCTGATGGTGCTGCTGTTGCTGGTGTTGCTGCTGCTGCTGCTGCTGCTGCTGTTGCTGGTGTTGATGGTGGTGGTGGTGCTGCTGCTGTTGCTGCTGCTGATGGTGCGGCTGCCACTACTGCTGCTGCTGCTGCCGCCGAAAACGCCTTGCTTTCCACCTCTGCTGAGCCGGCCGCGCTAGAGGGGTTGAGTGCGGTGACGTCGCTGCGGGCACTTCACATCAACCTGTGGCACAACCCCCACATCACACACCTTCCGCCTTCCCTCTTCTCACTCTCCTCCCTGGCCACCCTCACTCTCTCACATCTCGTTAACGTCTCCTCCATCCCGGAAACCCTCTCTCTCCTCGCTCCCTCCCTCACTCACTTGCACATCAGTCATTGCCCCATGCTCTCTTCGCTCCCCTCCTCGCTCTGCCTTCTTTCCTCTCTGGAATGCCTTCATATCGAAGGTTGCAAGTCACTGGTAGCTGTTGTGAAAGAGATTCCAGGAGAGGAAGGCACGGAGGAAGAGGAGGAGCAGGAGGAGGAAGTTGAGGAGGGGAATGGTGGGGACGAGGAAGAGGATGAAAGGGATGAGAGGGCCAAGAGGAACGTGTGGGACAAGTGGGATGAGGAGGGCGATGAGGTGGAGGAGGGGAGCGAGGGGGAGGAGGGGGATGAGGAGGAGGAGGATGAGGAGGAGGATGAGAAGGAGGAGGATGAGGAGGAGGGGGATGAGGAGGAGGATGAGAGGTTGCCAGCAGCAAAGAAGCAGAGGATTGATTCAGTAAGATCAGCATGTGAACGCCAATCAAGGCACTCCATGGCCACCATGCATTCGTTACAGTCACTCTCCATAAAAGAATGTGAATCCCTCAGACGCTTGCCTGCAACCATCGGCCTTCTACCCCGCCTGACCTCCCTCCACCTCTCACAGCTAGATAACCTCAGAGCTCTACCACCCTCTCTTCCCCTCCTGTCCTCCCTCACCTCGCTCGATCTCTCTTCCTGCAATCGCCTTCCTTCCCTCCCCTCTACGTTTGACAACCTCTCCAGTCTCCATACCTTGAAACTTTCTAACCTTCCCAGACTTGCGGACTTGCCACAATCTTTCAGGCAGCTGCCTCGCCTAGAGCGATTAACCCTGCAATATTGCGACCTGCTCCGCGAGCTACCCAGTTCTTTTCCCTATCTTCACCGCTTATCGGAGCTCGTGATCGAAGAATGCGGGAATTTCAAGCATTTGCCGACCAATATTGGGCTGCTCTCGTCACTTGAGTGGCTATAGCTGACTACCCTGCCAAGAATGACGGAGTTACCCAGGTCCTTGAGGCGATTGCGAAGGCTCTGGCAGGTGGAGATTAGGTGCTGCGGTTCAATTAGAGTTGTTCCAAAGTTGATTTGGGCCTGATAGTTTCTGTGCGGAAGGTTAGAACACCCTAGGAGTGCTTGCTGGAAGGGGTCGGAAGTGGAGGGAATATGTGTAAGGAAGAAGGGTAGGGGTGCTTGGGCAGAGTGGGATGCAATTTTGTTGTGATCTTTACCATACTACTATTTGGACACATGCATTTTTGTTTCTGCAACATATATGCGCAGGTGCTACACATTTATTTGTTCAGTATGCAACAATCATCGTAGCAATTACTGAGCGGCCTATGATTTATACCAGAGATGTTTCAAGCCTCCATAAATGAGAGTATATTCTGGGACTATCCTATATAACTAGTTTTCCCGACGGGCTTGTGGTGAATAATAGCTAAAAGCGGGTACAGAAGTTTGGTGGGATGTTTGCCCGCAGCTGGTTTGCCCTTGAATTTTGGAATCAGGTGCTTTGACGAATCTTCCCGCGTTTCAAAGTTGTCGCTGATTCGTTGTTGCCTCCTCGCCATCGCCATCTGTGGTGACACCGCGGCGCCACGCCACCAACCACGAGAAAGCTCCACCCCACACCACACAGATCCTCCGCCAGCACCTGCTGTGAATTATAGCCGCGCAACTCTTGCACCTCCACGCGACACTCCCAGCTCTGCGCAAGTCCAGCAGCACCGTGCTCAAGTCCAGCGCTGATTGCTGCGTGAGCACCTCGCATTCTTCTTGGCTGGTGGATGATTGCACCTTGGGCTTGGGCATGCCGTGCCATGCCGTTCCAAAGCCAGTCCCTTGGTTCCTCCAACCAAGCCATTCCCTTGGTTTCTGAAATTCTGGAAAGCGCGGAGTTTTGCAAGGGGCACCTTTTTGCCGTATGTATCTCTGCTTGGCTGGGAAACTCAGATATTCGGATACTGCACACACAGTCAAGGAGGAGAAATTCAGGCAGGCATAGGCCAGAGGATCGGAGGTTCCAAGGTTCCTTGAAAGGGAAGATAGGTCAGGCTGGGACGATAATTCAGTCATCCAACCCGTGTCTCCAGCTTCACTCTTGAAGTGTGGTGATTCTTATCCAGACCAGCATTCCTGTTCTGGATCCGCATCCCTCCAGGGTGCATTGTGCAGCAGCTTCAGTGTCCCACCTCAGAGCGCTTCCATAGAAATTCCTTGGGAGTTTTTATTGACATAAATCGACTGAAATTTAAGCGTCAGGAAGCATGGGTGTCCCAGTTCCGGCGCTATGCACGGGATTCCGCGTCTGGCAGTATCCCGACCAGCTGCTACTGGAGCCGTTGGATGCGTCCACCAGCTGCCTCGCCATCAGCCGATCTGACGGCAGCCTGAGCGTCGGAGGTACAGCCACTGACACATGGATGTAGACCTTGGTGACAAGCCTGCATATTTCGGCCATTATCCTGTCCAGCCACTCCCTCAATGAGCTTACCAAATTTCGCTTAGAGAGAACGACACCGGCGGTACTGTAGTTTCGGGTGATCTAGGCCCGTTTCCTTGCAAAAGTTGGCTCTCAGCAGCAGCTGGGCTTGCTTCAAGAAATGCTGCATTCTTATACGCAGATCTCTCGCGTTTTACTTGATAGCGTTGGCAATGCGAAGGCGACAGTTTGGATACCAATGCCTAAGGGAACCGCTCACTTTCCGGTAGCAAAAATGACGGAATCGGTTCTTGGCGAAGGAGAGACGGAGCGGATTGTGCGCGTTAGAGTTTTGAAAGTCTTTGCAATGCGAACGGCGGAGATTCGGCAATCCGTCAGGCTTTGGTCGGTACATCCAACAGCCTGTTGCGTGCGATCTGCGAGATTGACAGCTGGCAGATAGGGGCGACATGTGATGTTATTCCTCGCATGGCATTCCAGTTGCTTATAGCATTGCCTTCGCTTGTGTATGACCTGAATTGCGCACTTTTTCGAATCTCATCAGCAGCTGCATGCGCGTGCCCATGTGCTATACGAAGGCCAGATGTCCGTTAATTTCTCAAGTTTCGCATTATTACATCTTCGTGGCGGCTCGTGCATTTCTCCGTCTTGTCTAGTCTCACAAATTAAACCTCGCTACACACATTCAGACGAATGTGCCTCTGTTCCCCGTGTTTCCTCCGCTCCCTGACGTCTCAGGCAAGCCGTCGCTCTCCGGAACGGTCGCCTTTTGAGTCGACTCAATCTCCACCCCCGTCCCCCGTGTTTCCTCCGCTCCCTGACATTTCAGGCGAGCCATCGCTTGCCGGAACGGTCGCAGAGCCCAAGTCGGCGTGCCTTCTCCTGGGCTTCATCGAGCTGCTTGCAGGTGGGTTGGCGTGTTTTCACCCGTTTGCACACTTTTTACCCGCAAAGTGCTCAGTCTGCCCAATCGCGTCCACCCCTCTCCCCTTCCCTCACCCACTCCCGGTTCCTCTCCTCTCTGTTCTACTCACTTTTCTGCCCTTTACTGTTCTCCTCACTGTTCGCCCCTCCACTGTTCTCCATCAGGCACGTACGTGCTGCTGGTGACGAACCGGCAGCTCGTCGGCGCCTTCAAGGGCGCGCACGTGTTCCGAGCTACGGCTTTTGATATAGTGCCGTGCTGCTCCAAGGACTCCCTCACACCAAAGCAGGTGCGTGTGTGCATTTAACGAAAGGGAAGTGTAAGTGTAACAGGAGCAGAGTAGTGAGTGAGGGATGAGAGTGCAAGTCAAACAGAGAAAAGGGGGCGAAGAGAGGGAGGATGTGAGTGGAAAATATGCAAATGTAAGCTAGACCAGGCTTTCAGTTTGATGCGTGGGGTACTAGAACTGTTGCATAGAATAACATTTCTGCTTGATTGGCGGCTGATTGACAATGTTCTTTGCGCTTCCAACCTCTATACATGGTCGATACTGCCCAACATGCCAATATCCCCCAGAAAGCGGACGAGGAGGAGTGCCTTGTTCGCCTGCGCCATGCCATGTCAGCTATTGGCCTTTTTGGGAATTCTTAAAAGTACCCTCTGCATTGTATGCCCATCATGCACCCATCATGCCGTTATCACCCTGAAAGCGGACGAGGAGGAGTACTTCGTTCGCCTGCATTCACCCATGTCAGCTCATGGCCTTATTGAGTATTCTAAATAATACACTCTTCATTGTATTCCCATCATGTACCCACCATGTACCCGTCATGCCGTTATCCCCCTGAAAGCGGATGAGGACGAGTACTTCGTTCGCCTGCATTCACCCATGTCAGCTCATGGCCTTATTGAGTATTCTAAATAATACACTCTGCATTGTATTCCCATCATGTACCCACCATGTACCCATCATGCCGTTATCCCCCAGAAAGCGGATGAGGAGGAGTACCTTGTTCGCCTGCGCTCCGCCATGTCAGCTCACGGACTCTTCTTTTCCTATGGCGCTGACATCACCACCAGGTGTGCTGACGCCATCATCCGTATTGATATGACTCAATAAGCCACAAAACTGCACGCTCCCCTTTCTTCGATTCTGTCATGTTCGCTTTCATTCCTTGGTGCGTTTGGGTTCTGCATCCCAAAACGTTTGCTGTGTGTGTATGTAGGCATAATCTGTGTTTCTGTGTGGCTTATGCATAATCGAGGCGCATTGTGCTCCACTGATCAGATCGTAATGCAGCTGCGAAAAAGCTCAATCTCTGAGTCACGTGAGAAGCACCATCACCTATGCTCTGTGATTGTCTGTCAGAATTATGATACGTTTTCTCTGTGTCTGTGTCTGTGTCTGTGTAACAATCTGGAACATAATGACATGCATGCAGCCTACAGAGGGAGGCTCTAGCTGAACCTGCTGGACCAAAGCCCCTGTGGAAGCAGGTAAGCTGCACTGCACTGCACTGCACGTACCAAGCAGGTAAGCTGCACTGCAATGCACTGCACTTCACTACGTATACCAATGCAAGCAGTTATGTGACCCCGGAAATGGAACTGCGTGTTACCTCCAATCAGTGCATTTGTCGCCTTGGCATGCATATTGCTGATGTATTCACTGCTTGACCCACGACACACCCACGTGATTATGTGTGTGCTCACATGTGTGCACACGCACGCACGTGTGTGTTGTGTGTGTGATCGCGAGTTGCTCATCCATGCCTGCTTGGTAATACATCCACATGCGTTTTACTCTGTGTGTGTGTCGTGTTACGTGAGGTACGTGCTGGAGGGGGTATTACGAGCAGGTGGACGACTCTCTCCTTTTGAAATTTCTAATAAGTGTTTTTGTGTGCTGTGTGTTGTGTTATGTTGCGCGATGTTATGTTATGTGCGATACATGGGTAATAATACTACCACAAGCAGGTGGACGACCGTTTCTTCTGGAACCTGCATCTCCAGCAGCGAGCCGTAAGCTTCCCCGAGGTGAGCATCAGACTGTTCTCAGCTTTGATAAGTCCCAAGGTCAGCAATCACCTGTTTGTCTTCAATATGAGCTGCTCCAAGGTAAGTATGCAGTGGTTCCCGCGAGACACCAATAAAGCCCCAATGTTCCTTCCATGTCCACCCTCTCTGTGTTACACCAGCTGCCTCACACCAGCTGCCCCACACCAGCTGCCTTGCTTCCAATGTCCTGAACACCCTCTCACTTTGCCTCTCCGCCTTCCTGTTTCTGTGCTTTTCATTTCCCCCCCTGTTCCCCTCCCTCTATCTACCCTGACACCCCAACCCACTGTTGATGTCTCTTGTCTTGCAGGCTGCGCCCTTTGTCGTCCCCGTCATGCAAGGAAATATCCTCTCAACGCCCCTCCTCCGCCCTTGCTTTAAAACCCACCCCAACCCGACCACCCTGGCTTCGGTCTTCTTTTCCTTCCACCATTGCACCTTTCAATCATCCATTTCTGTAATTGCCATCCATTGGACATTCAATCCCGCTTCTTGTCCCCCTGTCTGACTGCTTGTCTTCGTCTACTGCCGTCCTGCCCTTATCAATTTACCAGTGTCCCATCTTCTTGTCACTTTCTCTTGCGTTTATTGCAATATTCTCAGGCCAAAGTTTCCTTAACCAAGCGCCTTCCCTCCTCTTTTTCCTGCCTGTGTTCCTGGTTGTTCCATTCCATTTCCTTGTTGTTCAACCTCTCTCTTCATCTCTCTCTTCATCTCTCTCTTCATCTCTCTCTCCCTGCTCTTCTCTTGCCGGTTGGCCAATGACCACTGCCTTCCCCCTTCACTGGGGGCCCTCGTTTCGTACACCTTCTCCTGGAGTTGTTTCTCCCTCTCGCTCTCCTCCTTCCCTCTCTCCTCCCTCCCACCCTCCCTCTCTCCCCCTTTCCCTCACTCCGTTTTCCTTCCCTCTCATGGCCGTAATTTTGTGCGCCTATCGACCGAGCACGTTTCGCCAGCATCCAATCAGCAATCAACAAGTGTCCAGTCGAGGTCACCCTCATTGCTCGCCGTGGTGTCGACAGAATCGGTGAGCCCGGTGCATGCAGCACTAAATGCTGGAACTTAAAGACTCGTCCCATTCATGTGCTTTACAGTGCGTAGCCGTAATTGCAGGCCTCGGCACATGTGATACCCGCTGCAACAATAAGTGCACTGCACACATCATGAATCTGATGCTGCAGGCACGCGCATGTGGTGCATTGGTGCTGACTCCAAAAGCGCTGTGCCAGACAGACGCTGCTATCTTCACATCTCCTTCCACCTTTTTCTCCCGCATGACACTCTCTTCTCTCACTCTCTTCTCTTCCACCTTGCAGGCACGCGCATGTGGCAAAGGGGTGCGGATTTCAAGGGCGCTGCGGCCAACTGTGCTATCTACTCACTCATCTCCTGCCCTCCTTTTTCCTTGCTTCATATCCTTTTCTCTCCCCTGCCTGCAGGCACGCGCATGTGGCGCCGAGGTGCGGATAGCAAGGGTGCGGTGGCCAACTTTGTTGAGACGGAGCAAGTGGTGACGGTGGATGGCGGCGCTGTTGCATCCTACGTGCAGGTGAGCTGGTTGCGGTGGGCGCACGTTTTCCTGTCTGTGGTAATCGTAGTTCAGTTGTGCAAGTGGTGACGGTGGACGGGGGTGCTGTTGCATCCTACGTGCAGGTGAGTGGGTTGTGCTGGGCGTGCAGTGCATATGAATGGCATGCAGTGCATATGAATGGCATGCAGAGGGCGCACACGATTTCCGTTAGATGATTGTGGTTCAGTTGGAACAGAGCAAGTGGTGACGGTGGACGGGGGTGCTGTTGCGTCATATGTGCAGGTGAACAGGGTGCATTGGGCGTGCAGGTGAACAGGGTGCATTGGGCGTGCAGGTGAGCTGAGCAGGGCAGGGCGCACATTTGCCTGCGGTAGACATGATGCTTCCTTACAATACAGCGCGCTGTGCTGCATCACAGATCAGGGGCTCCATCCCTGTGCTGTGGGAGCAGACCGTTGACCCTGATCAGGGATGCACATGCTCACTCACATTGCTCTCAGGCGCTGCCTGTTTGCTACCCTGCCCTCTCCTCTACTCCCTCCCCTCTGCCCTCCCCTCTTCTCGCCCGCTCTGTCCTCGCTCCCCCGTCTCTCAGGTCAGGGGCTCCATCCCTGTACTGTGAGAGCAGATCGTCAACTCCACACACACCTTGCGTTGAAGCACCTCACTTCGAATGCTTCTTGCTTGCTATCCTGCACTCTCCTCTCTACCCCCGCTCCCCTTTCCAGATCAGGGGCTCCATCCCGGTGCTGTGGGAGCAGATCGTCAACCTCACGTACAAGCCCAAGCTCCAGACGGTCGTCACAGCCGAGGTGAGAGATGCTTCCTATGAGTGAGGGCAAAGAGCTCGTGTACAGATAAGCCTTTCCACAGGGGCTAGATCGTCAACCTCACGTACAAGCCCAAGCTCCAGACTGTCGTCACAGCCGCGGTGAGAGATGCTGTCGACTCTTGGGAGCATAGGCGATATGCACAGAGCAGATAATCGTTTTTAAACTGTCTCAAACTGTTAACCTTGCGTACAAGACCAAGCTCCAGACCGTCGTCACAGCCGCGGCGAGATATGCCCCAGAGTTCCAAGAGAGCACAGAGCCCATGTGCTGTGCAGGGCTCTCTAGGATTCGCACAAGGCGATCTCCAACTAAACCGTTGCCACGGCTTCTTTAGATTGTGATATATATATTCCGCTCCGCCCCAGATATGCATTATGTTTCCATGGGATGCGTGATAAAGCACTGCATGGATCTTTTCCCGAGTACCTTCCTTCCTTCCACCTTTGCCTTATCTTCCACCAACACCCCCCTGCACTGCACTGCACCTTCTCTCACACTCTTCTACCCACTTGTAACATGCTACCGCTTCTCCGCATGCCCCACCGGCCTCGCCCTCCCCCTTTCCAGTCGATCCTGGGTCCAATGCCCAACGACCAACGCCACCCACCCTTTCCCCACACTAACATCCCTCCCCTCTTTTGAGTCAACTCAAAAGTCTCCTCATGCCCCACCCGCCTCGCCCTCCCCCTTTCCGGTCAATCCTGGGTCCAACGACAAACGCCACCCACCCTTTCCCCACACTAACATCCCTCCCCTCTTTTGAGTCGATTCAAAAGTCTCCTCATGCCCCACCCGCCTCGCCCTCCCCCTTTCCGGTCAATCCTGGGTCCAACGACCAACGCCACCCACCCTCTCCTCCCACTAACATCCCTCCCCTCTTCCCCCCTCAACCTCCCAGCAACCCTTTGAGGCGCCCCTGAGGCATCAGGGTCTAAAGAGACCTCCCGGGGCTGTCGGTTTTTGGTGTACTCAATACTCCTTTCCTACCCTACCCCACGCGCCCTCCTCTCTCCCCCCCCCCCCCCCCCTTCTCTTTCTTCTCAACCCTCAGCAACCCTTTGAGGCGCCCTTGAGGCAGCATCTTAGAGGGCTTAAGGAGATCTACGGCCCTGTCATTGCCGTTGACCTAGTCAACCAGGTAATGGGGAAAGAAAGAAGTGATGCGTTGACCTGGTCAACCAGGTAATGGGGAAGCTGGGTGGGCATGTATCTGTTGGCCCAGACAATGCAAATGAGGGGAAAAAGGGCGGTCTTTCATTGTTAGCGTGTTGTAGCATGTGAGATGGCTGCAAATCAATCCGGTGCCCATGCAACGAGCCATGCAGTGGAAGGCAGCACCTGGTCACGTGCTTGTACTCACTGTGTGATGTGTCTATTATTTAGTCGACTAGAAAATGTACCATGTGAGATGGCTGCGGTTTAGTCTGGTGCCCATGCAACCAACCACGCAGTGGGAGCCAGCACCTGGTCGCGTGCTTGCACTCACTTCACTTTGTCTCGTTTCCATTCTGGTCACACTCTGCAACCCAGTTCTGAGACGTCTCAAAACTAGCGTGCTTGTACTCGCTTTGTCTCGTTTCGTTTCCATTCTGGTCACACTCTGCAACCCAGTTCTGAGACGTCTCAAAACTAGCGTGCTTGTACTCGCTTTGTCTCGTTTCGTTTCCATTCTGGTCACACTCTGCAACCCAGTTCTGAGACGTCTCAAAACTAGCGTGCTTGTACTCGCTTTGTCTCGTTTCGTTTCCATTCTGGTCACACTCTGCAACCCTGTTCTGAGACGTCTCAAAATTAGCGCGCTTGTACTCGCTTTGTCTCGTCTCGTTTCCATTCTGGTCACACTCTGCAACCCTGTTCTGAGACGTCTCAAAACTAGCGTGCTTGTACTCGCTTTGTCTCGTTTTGTTTCCATTCTGGTCATACTCTGCAACCCTGTTCTGAGACGTCTCAAAACTAGCGTGCTTGTACTCGCTTTGTCTCGTTTCGTTTCCATTCTGGTCACACTCTGCAACCCAGTTCTGAGACGTCTCAAAACTAGCGTGCTTGTACTCGCTTTGTCTCGTTTCGTTTCCATTCTGGTCATACTCTGCAACCCAGTTCTGAGACGTCTCAAAACTAGCGTGCTTGTACTCGCTTTGTCTCGTTTCGTTTCCATTCTGGTCATACTCTGCAACCCAGTTCTGAGACGTCTCAAAACTAGCGTGCTTGTACTCGCTTTGTCTCGTTTCGTTTCCATTCTGGTCACACTCTGCAACCCAGTTCTGAGACGTCTCAAAACTAGCGTGTTTGTACTCGCTTTGTCTCGTTTCGTTTCCATTCTGGTCATACTCTGCAACCCAGTTCTGAGACGTCTCAAAACTAGCGTGCTTGTACTCGCTTTGTCTCGTTTCGTTTCCATTCTGGTCATACTCTGCAACCCTGTTCTGAGATGTCTCAAAACTAGCGTGCTTGTACTCGCTTTGTCTCGTTTTGTCTCCATTCTGGTCATACTCTGCAACCCTGTTCTGAGACGTCTCAAAACTAGCGTGCTTGTACTCACTTTGTCTCGTTTCGTTTCCATTCTGGTCACACTCTGCAACCCAGTTCTGAGACGTCTCAAAACTAGCGTGCTTGTACTCGCTTTGTCTCGTTTCGTTTCCATTCTGGTCACACTCTGCAACCCAGTTCTGAGACGTCTCAAAACTAGCGTGCTTGTACTCGCTCTGTCTCGTTTCGTTTCCATTCTGGTCACACTCTGCAACCCTGTTCTGAGACGTCTCAAAATTAGCGCGCTTGTACTCGCTTTGTCTCGTCTCGTTTCCATTCTGGTCACACTCTGCAACCCTGTTCTGAGACGTCTCAAAACTAGCGTGCTTGTACTCGCTTTGTCTCGTTTTGTTTCCATTCTGGTCATACTCTGCAACCCTGTTCTGAGACGTCTCAAAACTAGCGTGCTTGTACTCGCTTTGTCTCGTTTCGTTTCCATTCTGGTCACACTCTGCAACCCAGTTCTGAGACGTCTCAAAACTAGCGTGCTTGTACTCGCTTTGTCTCGTTTCGTTTCCATTCTGGTCATACTCTGCAACCCAGTTCTGAGACGTCTCAAAACTAGCGTGCTTGTACTCGCTTTGTCTCGTTTCGTTTCCATTCTGGTCATACTCTGCAACCCAGTTCTGAGACGTCTCAAAACTAGCGTGCTTGTACTCGCTTTGTCTCGTTTCGTTTCCATTCTGGTCACACTCTGCAACCCAGTTCTGAGACGTCTCAAAACTAGCGTGTTTGTACTCGCTTTGTCTCGTTTCGTTTCCATTCTGGTCATACTCTGCAACCCAGTTCTGAGACGTCTCAAAACTAGCGTGCTTGTACTCGCTTTGTCTCGTTTCGTTTCCATTCTGGTCATACTCTGAAACCCAGTTCTGAGACGTCTCAAAACTAGCGTGCTTGTACTCGCTTTATCTCGTTTCGTTTCCATTCTGGTCATACTCTGCAACCCAGTTCTGAGACGTCTCAAAACTAGCGTGCTTGTACTCGCTTTGTCTCGTTTCGTTTCCATTCTGGTCACACTCTGCAACCCAGTTCTGAGACGTCTCAAAACTAGCGTGCTTGTACTCGCTTTGTCTCGTTTCGTTTCCATTCTGGTCACACTCTGCAACCCAGTTCTGAGACTTCTCAAAACTAGCGTGTTTGTACTCGCTTTGTCTCGTTTTGTTTCCATTCTGGTCATACTCTGCAACCCTGTTCTGAGACGTCTCAAAACTAGCGTGCTTGTACTCGCTTTGTCTCGTTTCGTTTCCATTCTGGTCACACTCTGCCACGTTCTGAGACGTCTCAAAACTAGCGTGCTTGTACTCGCTTTGTCTCGTTTTGTTTCCATTCTGGTCATACTCTGCAACCCTGTTCTGAGACGTCTCAAAACTAGCGTGCTTGTACTCGCTTTGTCTCGTTTCGTTTCCATTCTGGTCACACTCTGCAACCCAGTTCTGAGACGTCTCAAAACTAGCGTGCTTGTACTCGCTTTGTCTCGTTTCGTTTCCATTCTGGTCATACTCTGCAACCCAGTTCTGAGACGTCTCAAAACTAGCGTGCTTGTACTCGCTTTGTCTCGTTTCGTTTCCATTCTGGTCATACTCTGCAACCCAGTTCTGAGACGTCTCAAAACTAGCGTGCTTGTACTCGCTTTGTCTCGTTTCGTTTCCATTCTGGTCACACTCTGCAACCCAGTTCTGAGACGTCTCAAAACTAGCGTGTTTGTACTCGCTTTGTCTCGTTTCGTTTCCATTCTGGTCATACTCTGCAACCCAGTTCTGAGACGTCTCAAAACTAGCGTGCTTGTACTCGCTTTGTCTCGTTTCGTTTCCATTCTGGTCATACTCTGCAACCCAGTTCTGAGACGTCTCAAAACTAGCGTGCTTGTACTCGCTTTGTCTCGTTTTGTCTCCATTCTGGTCATACTCTGCAACCCTGTTCTGAGACGTCTCAAAACTAGCGTGCTTGTACTCGCTTTGTCTCGTTTCGTTTCCATTCTGGTCACACTCTGCAACCCAGTTCTGAGACGTCTCAAAACTAGCGTGCTTGTACTCGCTTTGTCTCGTTTCGTTTCCATTCTGGTCACACTCTGCAACCCAGTTCTGAGACTTCTCAAAACTAGCGTGTTTGTACTCGCTTTGTCTCGTTTTGTTTCCATTCTGGTCATACTCTGCAACCCTGTTCTGAGACGTCTCAAAACTAGCGTGCTTGTACTCGCTTTGTCTCGTTTCGTTTCCATTCTGGTCACACTCTTCCACGTTCTGAGACGTCTCAAAACTAGCGTGCTTGTACTCGCTTTGTCTCGTTTTGTTTCCATTCTGGTCATACTCTGCAACCCTGTTCTGAGACGTCTCAAAACTAGCGTGCTTGTACTCGCTTTGTCTCGTTTCGTTTCCATTCTGGTCACACTCTGCAACCCAGTTCTGAGACGTCTCAAAACTAGCGTGCTTGTACTCGCTTTGTCTCGTCTCGTTTCCATTCTGGTCATACTCTGCAACCCAGTTCTGAGACGTCTCAAAACTAGCGTGCTTGTACTCGCTTTGTCTCGTTTCGTTTCCATTCTGGTCATACTCTGCAACCCAGTTCTGAGACGTCTCAAAACTAGCGTGCTTGTACTCGCTTTGTCTCGTTTCGTTTCCATTCTGGTCACACTCTGCAACCCAGTTCTGAGACGTCTCAAAACTAGCGTGCTTGTACTCGCTTTGTCTCGTTTCGTTTCCATTCTGGTCACACTCTGCAACCCAGTTCTGAGACTTCTCAAAACTAGCGTGCTTGTACTCGCTTTGTCTCGTCTCGTTTCCATTCTGGTCACACTCTGCAACCCTGTGACTGTTGCTGGCGTTGAGTTTTGAGTTGAGACGTCTCAAAACTCGGTGCCCGTGCAACCAATCATGCAGTGGGAGGGAGCCAGCTCCTGGCCTGGCCGCGTGCTTGTACTCACTATGCCTCGTGCTTGGTCGCATGCTGGTTGCGAGTTTCCATTCTGATCGTACTCTGCTCTGCAACCCTTTGACTGTCGTTGGCGTTGTGCATGCATGGAATGCAATGTGTTATGGTTCTGATGTGCGACGCTATGGCTTGCATTGATATGGCATGTCATGTCATGGCATGGCATGGATGCCTCTGCACTGCATGCATACAGGATGGTGGGGAGAGCCGCATTGGTTCAGCATATGCTGGAGCTGTGAACGCCATCAAGGACTCTGACTTGCGGTACGAACGGCCCATTGATGTATAGCTTATCCATTTAAGTGCGATTGGCATGTATGGATACGCCTAGTGTGTAGCATATGCTGGAGCTATGAATTCTGACCTGCGGTAAGGCCTCGATCATGTCCATGTTCTCTGTCCTGAGTGTGGCCTATGTTTGCAGCATGATTGCATGATTGCATTGCATGTATGACATAATCCTGTGTGCAGCAGCAGCAGCAGCATATGCTGGAGCTGTGAACGCCATTAAGTACTCTGACATGCAGTACGAACCACCCGTGCATGTACACATGTGCATACTCTGAGTGTATTTGGCATGCATGCATACACATACCGTTCAGCAGCATATGCTGGTGCCGTGAACGCGATCAAGGGCTCGGACATGCGGTATGGCCCATGCATGCATGTACCCCATGTGCATTTTCTGAGTGTCATGGGCATGTATGCATGCACCCAGTGTTCAGCAGCATGCATAAACCGAGCGCATAAAGTCCTCGTTTTATGCTGGGGCTGCAAAACCCATCATCTATGTGGCTGGCATTTGACCCCTCCAGCAGTGCGGCTACACCAGCAGCTCTCCGCCAGCAGTGTTATGTTCTCAGCATGACACTCATTACTCTCTCCCGCTCCTCCCCCTCTCCCTCCCTCGCCTCAGCTACATGCCACATGACTTCCACCACGAGTGCAGGGTCACCAAGTATCACCACCAGCAGCAGCTTGCGCCGGACCAAACACCACCTTTCTCCATCCCTCTTTTTTTGCCTGTTGCTCTTCTGGGAACTCCCCTCCCGCCCGCCCCCCTCCCTCACACCAGCTACGTTCCGTTTGACTTCCACCACGAGTGCGGTGCCAGCTAGTACCACCACCAACTGCTTGCCATTCACACAAAATCACCTCTTCCCGTCCCCTTTTCCTCTCCTCTGTCCCTCCCTCTCCCACCAGCTACGTGCCGTTTGACTTCCACCACGAGTGCGGCGCCACCAAGTACCACCAGCTCTCTGTCCTGGACGACCAGATCAGCAAGGACATGGAGACCCAGGGGTGAGTTCCCTCAGGCCTCTACTCTCTGCCTCTGCTACCATCACGTGATCATGTGTCAGTCATTTCAGCTGACTCCGGAATGATCTCTCTCAGCTGGACGACCAGATCGGCAAAGACATGGAGAACCAGGGGTGAGTTGCTTCAGGCCTCTTTTCCCTGGATCTACTACTAATGTCATGTGCCACTCCCCACTTCCCTCTGCTGCCATCACATCACGTGCCAGTCGTTTCAGCCCTTTCACAGGGAAGTCAAGCTCTTGACTCTTCGTAACTCTTTGCCATTCCCTCCTTCCCTTCCGCATCCCGTCCACTCTTTGCCCTGCCACCAGATTCTTCCTGCAATGAAGGCAAGGATGGGTCGGTACAGAAGCAATGCCAGCACGGCAGGGCTCAGAGCGCACTGACTTGCTTTGAGGCGCCTTGAGTTACGAATTATATACTATTCTCTGCCCATGTTGTCACCGCCCCTTTTTTCCCCTGCCACCAGATTCTTCCTGCAAGGCAAGGATGGGTCGGTACAGAAGCAGCGCCAGCGAGGCATTCTCAACAGCCTAGATTGATTTCTCCCCTCCTTTCCCATCCCATCCGCTCTTTGTCGTGCCACCAGATTCTTCTTGCAAGGCATGGATGGGACGGTGCAGAAGCAGCAGCACGGCACAGTGCGCACCAACTGCGTTGACTGCCTTGACCGCACCAATGTCACTCAGGTGGGTCCTCAGGTGCCTATCAGGTGATTCGTCAGGTGGCAGCAGCACGGCACAGCGCGCACTTCAACTCCCTGACTGCACTACTCAGGTGGGCTCTCAGGTGCCGAGCAGGTGGGCTCTCAGGTGGCGCCCAGGTGGGCTCTCAGGTGGCAAGCAGATCACTGGTGATTATCTGTACGCTTTGACCTCTCTGGTTCATCACCCGCCCGCATTTCAAGGTAAAGCCTTTCTAGTTACTTACCGCCAGAATACTAATCATCCAACCACCCCACGTCTCTCTCCCTCAGAGCTGGATCACGCGGCACGTGCTGGAGGACGAGCTGAGGCGGATGGGGTTGCAGGGGCTGCATGAATCCCCCCCTCCCCCCACCCATTGTCTCTCCCCTCCCCGAATCACCTGCTTTCTCCTTCCTTCTTCTCCACAGAGCTGGTTCGTGCGGCACGTGCTGGAGGACGAGTTGAGGCACATGGGGCTACAGGGTGACCCAGTAATCCCCTCCCTCCCAACCCCCCTCCCCGTCCTGCTCCCCGTCCCCTTCCCCTTACTTTTGCAGAGCTGGATCACGCGGCATGGCTGGAGGACGAGCTGAGGCACATGGGGCTGCAGGGATGGGACTGAACAGACCCTCCTTCACCTCCCCTCCACTTCGCCCTCCCTTCCCCACTCCGCCCTCCCTCCCCACTTCGCCCTCTCTTCCCCACTTCGCCCTCCTCTGATTTGTCCTTCTCAGAGCTGGTTCGCGCAGCACGTGCTGGAGGACGAGCTGAGGCAGATGGAGCTGCAGGGTGACCCAGTAACCCCCTCTCCCTCCCCCTCCCGCTCCCCCTCCCCCTCCCCCCTCCCCCTCCCCTTTCTTGTGCAGAGCTGGTTCGCGCGGCACGTATTGGAGGATGAGCTGAGGCAGATGGAGCTGCTGGGCCTGCTGGGAGAGTCGGTAACATCCCCCCCTCCCCTCTATCCCCCCTCCACTCCACCTCCCCCCCTCTTTTCAGAGCTGGTTTGCGCGGCACGTATTGGAGGATGAGCTGAGGCAGATGGGCCTGCTGGGGAAGGATGAGCGCGTGGCAGAACACAGCGACTTTGATGCCAAGTACAAGATCAGTGAGTTGAAGGAGAGGTTGGAGTGCGGTGGGGGGAGTTAACAGCCAGGAGAGGGGGCATCTACGTGAATGGACGTGCATGCTGACGTGCTGCTGGGAAAGAATGAGTGCGTGGCAGAACATAGCGACTTTGATGCCAAGTACAAGATCAGTGAGTTGAAGGAGAGGTTGGAGTGCGGTGGGGGGAGTTAACAGCCAGGAGAGGGGGCATCTACGTGAATGGACGTGCATGCTGACGTGCTGCTGGGAAAGAATGAGTGCGTGGCAGAACATAGCGACTTTGATGCCAAGTACAAGCTCAGTGAGTGGTGGGAGATGGTTGGAGTTCGGGGGGGGCTGAGCATGTCAGGAAAGGGGACATAGTGTGAAGGGGACGTGCATGCTGAGCGTCAGCTGAGGCAGATGGGGCTGCTGGGGAAGAACGAGCGCGTGGAAGAAAACAGCAACCTCGACGCCAAGTACAAGATCAGTGAGTGGTTGAATCGGTGTGGGGAGAAATGGAGTGAGGAAAAGGAAGAGGCGGTAAGAACACGGGCACTCCAGCACTCCAGACAGACCACTTCTGTACCTTCCTTCCCCATTGCATCACCACCTCACGCTCTGCCGCCGCTAATGCGTCTCTCTCCCTCCATTCCCGTCTCCCGATGTGCTTCCTGTCAGTGTGGGCGGACCATGGCGATGACATCAGCACTCAGTACTTGGGCATATCAGCATGCAAGGCAGACCTCCGTTGCACATTGCTATATATCATCGTCTCATCCTTGCCTCCTCTACTTCCTCTCTTCCCCTCACCTATGTTCCTGTCCTATTCCCCGTTTGGTTTTCCAGTGTTGGCGGATCATGGGGACAACATCAGCACTCAGTACACAGGCACGCCAGCGCTCAAGGGAGACTATGTAGATTGCAGCACACCGTACCGTACCAGTCCAAACTCTCCCTCTCCTTTCCCCTTCCCTCGCCTCCTCGTTCCCTGCTGCTTCTCCCAGTGTGGGCGGATCATGGCGATGACATCAGCACACAGTACACAGGCACGCCAGCGCTCAAGGGAGACTATGTGCGGTACGCGCCACCCACCTGTTACTAGGCGCCACAGAACACGCCTCAAAATATGTTCACCGTCTATGAGGCAAATCAAAAGACGCGTCTCAATAGACTGCGTGCACACTCTGAGCCTCGCATTCACACTCTGAGACTCGCGTGCACACTCTGAGCCTCACGTGCACACTCTGAGCCTCGCATTCACACTCTTCCTCACATTCACCCTCTCTGAGCCAAAGGTTTAGCTTGTCCCATTACCCTAAACAGCTCGATCTGTTCCTGTTACTGGGCTCAACTTCCCCCCCACACCACACCCCACAGGTACGGCAAGCGCAGCCCGGAAGGTTTTCTTCAGGATGGGGTGAGCGCTGTGATGCGCTACTTCTTCAACAACTACACTGATGGCGTGAGACAGGTGAGTGAGGAAAAACGAGTGAGGGTGATACAAGGTGAGCGTTGCAGGTTGCTGCGATGCACGATGGGGTCAGTGCTGTGATGCGATATTTCTTCAACAACTACACTGATGGCGTGCGACAGGTGAGAAGAGAAGTACTTGCAGGGGCTATGCACCAACGAGGGGTTATGCACCAACGAGGGGTTATGCACCAACGAGGGGTGCTGCTGGTGGCTGTGATCCATGATGGGGTGAGTGCTGTGATGCGATGCTTCTTCAATAATTACACTGATGGCGTGAGGCACGTGAGGACAGCTGAAACGAGCGAGGGTGATGCAAATGAGGGGTGCTGCTGTTGGTGGCCATGATGACGGATGGGGTGAGCGCTGTGATGCGCTACTTCTCCAACAACTATACTGATGGCGTGCGACAGGTGAGGATGAGTGAAACGAGTGAGGCTGATGCGAATGGGGGGAGGCTGCGTCACAGGATGGGGTGAGTGCTGTGAAGCACTACTTCTTCAACAACTACACTCATGGCGTGCGTGCGGCAGATGAGGGTGATAAAAAGATGAGAGAAGGTGATAAAAACGAAAGGGGTTGCTGGTGGTTAGATCTGGCCTGGTCCAGCAGGGCGCTGCATCTCCATTCCTATAGGGTTCCTATGCATCTTAAAACCCTGTCATTGCGAGTCTCCTGTGTCATCTTAAAACCCTGTCATAGGGTTCCTATGCATCTTAAATCCTGTAGGGTTCCTATCCATCTCCATTCATCGCGAGTCTCCTGTGTCCTCCTCACTGCTGCCCCCCACTACCCACAGGACGGGCTGGATCTGGTAATGGGTAACTACACAGTCAAGCAGGGCGCTCCATGCCCATTCACAGCAAGTCTCCTGTCCGTCCGTCCGTGTACCCCTCATTGTAACCCCCCCCACTACGCACAGGACGGCCTGGATCTGGTAATGGGTAACTACACAGTCAAGCAGGGTGCTCCATCTCCGTTCACACGCACGGGCATCGAGAGATACACAGTACGTGCGCATACCTTCATGTCAGTGTTTACAGAGAACGCTTGGAATTTCTATACAGGTATCCACACAGGTGCTTCGTATCCATACCTTCATAGCAGGTGCCTTTTTTTATATACACACAGTCCATCCATTGTAGCCACCTGCTCGCCTGATCGCCCTTCCATGCAACCATTCACATGCGCCCTTCCATGCAACCGTTCACATGCGCCCTTCCATGCAACCGTTCACATGCGCCCTTCCATGCAACCGCTCACATGTGCCCTTCCATGCAACCGTTCACATGCGCCCTTCCATGCAACCGTTCACATGCGCCCTTCCATGCAACCGTTCACATGCGCCCTTCCATGCAACCGTTCACATGCGCCCTTCCATGCAACCGTTCACATGCGCCCTTCCATGCAACCGTTCACATGCGCCCTTCCCTTTGGCTCTGCCTGTTTCCACCTGTGCACAGAACCTGAGGGTGTGGCGCTCGTGTTGCTCATTGCTCTCCAGGTGTTCGTGGCCTCCCCCACCTCCCCTTCCACTTGGCTCATTTCTCCCCATATGATCACCTGCGCGCCTGTCCCTTGCAATTGTGTATCTTCTCACCTGTGCACAGAACCTGAGGGTGGCGCTCGTGCTGCTTGTGGCCTCCACGTACCTCTTCCTGCGAAACGTCATCCCTTGTGAGTCACCTTACACAGATTGCTTGCGCTACTGTTTCTTGAGCTTTTGTTTTTCCCCCGAGTAACTCTTTCCTGCATAGGCGTTCTCCCAACAAGATAATCATTAAAAATCTGATTCTTCTGTAATGTTGCGTTCTAAGTAGCGCCAGGGTTCATGCTGTAGCGCCAGGGTTCATGCTGTTCAGTGCTTTGTTTTCCACCCTCTCTCGTCCGGATCAACAAACAGCCAGCCCCCTCCCACCCCCCCTTCCCCCCAACGCCTAACCGGTTATAGAAGCTACTGTGGCTGCTCTCTCTTTTATGACTAAGCTTCAAATTCCCAAAATGCTCCAAACATTCAACATCTCCATCCCCCCCTCCTCCTTTCTTTGCAGCCTCCTCCCCCTCCCCTATATCGCCATCGCGGCCTCAGTTGTCATTCCCTCCCTTTCCCAACCCTCAACTACCCCCATTTTTCCTTTCCCCATTCCCCTCCTTCCGTTGCAGCTTCCTCCTCCTCCCTATCGCCAGTCATAGCAGCCACCTCAGATGTGGTCACTGGCTCAGTGGTCTTCGCCCTTCTCCCAATCCCCTCAAACAAACCCCTCCCTCTCCTTCCTGCCCCTCAATCCCCCATCTGCTCCCCATCTCCCTACCCCCTCTCCTGCAGCTTCCTCCTCCTCCCCCCTATCGCCAGTCATTGCAGCCACCTCAGCTGTGGTCGCAGGCTCAGTGCTCTTCGCCTTGAAGAAATTCGGCCGCCTCTTCTGCGACCGTCCCCGCTTCTGCTCCCTGCGATGAATGGGAAGGGGTGCTTCTTCGTGGGTTTGGATAGCTTCCATTATCTCGATGGATTGTCAATAAAGTAGCGTATCTTTGGGCAGCATACCAATCATAATAAATACTATGCATACTACAACCTATTTCCAACAATGGTCCAGCATGCGTTTGAAAGTACGCCAATCGGCTGTTTTGACCTACCGTACCATAAGATGCCCGTCATGGGGTAGTAGTGAGAGCAACCTTGCTAAGAATATGAAGTCATCAGATTTCTACTGGTAGAATCAAGCTCCAGTACAGTCCAGATGATGCCTGCCTCTGCAGAGTGTTTTTGAGAAAGCAGGGTGTTTTTGAAAAAGCAGGGTGTTTTTGAGAATTCTCAAAAACACCCTCCAGTCCAGCCCAGATGATATCTGCCTCTGCCTGCCTGTGATGACATCCATCATCCCCCCGCCCCCCCCCCCCCCCTCTCTCTCCCTCCCTCCATCATCATCCACACATGCATGTGGGTGCGAGCGCGGTTGCGTGGATATATGCGTTGGGAAATCGCGCCTGCAGTTTTTGGCACTCGCGCACGCATAGCCTCTCGCACTAACTCATCACTCCCTCCCAAGCCCTTCGCTCTCCCTCTTTTTCCCTCTCATTGTTTCTCAGTACCAACTGTACCACGAGATGAAGACAAGATTCGCTGACAGAATGTGGATCGACGTGATGTCCAAGTGTGACTTGCCTGCTGCTGCTGGCCCACTGGGGAGCAAGGGTGCAGTGCAAGCAGGGCGCAGCAAGCCAAGAGGCATCAACACCAGTGCTCCAGACAGCAGCGCTTCGGACAGCAGCGCTTCGGACAGCAGCGCTTCGGACAGCAGCGCTTCGGACAGCAGCGCTTCGGACAGCAGCGCTTCGGACAGCAGCGCTTCGGACAGCAGCGCTTCGGACAGCAGCGCTTCGGGCAGCAGCGCTTCGGACAGCAGCGCTCCGGACAGCAGCGCTTCGGGCAGCAGCGCTTTGGACAGCAGCGCTTCGGACAGCAGCGCTTCGACAGCAGCGCTTCGACAGCAGCGCTCTTGCTGCAAGGCAGCTGGCTGAGGCAGAGCCACCTGGTAGCACATGGCAGGGTTTAGGGTGGAGACTGCAGGAGAAGCAGCAGCACGCATGGCAACAGGGGAAGGCACAGCCATGGCTCCCACGTGTTCTTACTAAGAGTACATGACAGGTTTATCCTTCCCATGCGCCCTTACTCACCGCTGTGCCCAGGTGGTGCATACTGTGGGCCCATGTTCATGCTTCATCCGCTGCCCCTTCCCATGTGTTCCATCTCTGCATGTTTCTTCCCCCCATGCCAATTGGTGCACGCCACACAGATAATACTGTGTGCGCCCTCCCTTGCATCCGCTCACTCATCCCCGCCTGCACTGCTTGTCACATGACCAAGCAAATTCTGCGTATATCTGGATAAATGGAATCTTTATTCATCTATGCGTCTCCAAAAGGCCAGTTCGTCTAACCAAGATCTATGGCCCAGAGAGTTCAGCAGGATTTGTGTTGGAAGGAAGTCGTGCATCGTGGTGATGACGGTGCCACACGCAACATGTTATTCCCTTGCAATGAGCCGCAATACAAACACAACAACATTTGAGACGACCCGCTGGATTACACAAACCTGAAGCAAAAGAGAAAAAAAAAAGCAACAGAGAGCTTCCCTCAACAGAATGCGGAACTGGTAAAGCGCTCAGCCGCTTGGCTTTCTGTATCTGCTCATCCTTTCACGTCCATACATGGTTGCAAGAAATAATGACCACCCCAAGAAGAACACCGAACTTGGATTACTCTTCCGGCTGCGACGCGTCGACGCCATGGATGGTAAGAAACCTTCCCCTGAAAATCCCAGAATGCTTAATCTTAGCCTTGCCCTTTCCAATCCGCACTTTCTTCGCCTTAGTCTTCGCGTCCACAACCTCATCCTTCCCCACGCTGCGACCATTCACGTCCGTCAGCTTCGTCGCCTTCGCGAGATCGTCCTCTTCGTACACGCCGTCGAGCATCTGCGCGCGAAAGAGCTTCGTGAAGGGGTCGACGTCGCCGCGCTTCATGCCGGTTTTCACCATCATGGCGAGCGCGTCCGGGGCAGAGGAAGCAATGGCGCTGTCCTCGGGCAGCATGAAAGTTTTTTTATCGACCTTGTTGAGGAAATCTTCGTTTGGGTTCCAGTCGGTCTCTGCATCATCGCGAAGAGGAAGAAAACAGAAGCATTGTCACTGACACATTGCTAACGGGCATATAACGAGATCTACAGGATGACGAAGCGGAAGCAACGTGCATAACTTGCGGGAAATGCAGCAGGGTTTACCCAATTGAGGGATGACGTGGTCAAGAAGAGTATGGGTGGCGTAATATCGGTTGTTCAGCTTGGAATCCGCAAGCGCGTCGCGTGTCTTCTTCAATTCGTCAATAAAGTCCTCCTTGGTAGGCCGCGCCGCAGCAGGCGCCAGCAGTGACGCGAGCGTGCAGAGGGCGAGAACGGAAAGCTGCCACGACGCCATGGCGCGGATTGACTGAATCCTCAAACTCCCGTGGTTAATCCTGTAGGTGCTGGTCTCAATCTTCAGGGTCTCAATCTTCAGGGTTTGCAGCGACGAGTGAGAAAATGGATGTGGGAAAGAGTGGCAGGGGGTGGAATATATCAGTGAGGGGAGTGTCTCACACAAACCCATGATGACGAAATCGAGTTAGGGAGGGTCACAAGTTTAGACGAAAACGACTAGACGCGAGCGGTGACAAGATTTCGCAGCAAATGAGAGCGGAAGCCTCGCTAACCGGAAGTTCGCCGCCGCGCAGAATGCATCCCGCCCGGTGCCTGCCCGTCTGGTGCAGCCAGGGAATATTTGCCCCCATCTGGAACCATGCGTTACTGCCGCACCCTCGTTCGCGAAAGCGGGCGAATTTTGCGCGCTTCGTGAAGTTGCGAATCAGGTGTTTCTTGTTGGGGGGACTTCAGGTGTGCCATGCTTCGGTGTCTATGCCGACGCGAGCTGGCCAAGTGCTGGTCTGGCGCTCAAGAAGCTCCGCCCGCAGCCAAGGGCGCCTGAACCGGCGGGGAGAGAATTACTGTAGAGTCTGGATCAGTGATTCATCCTTACTCGCGTGGCCTCGAATTACTCGAGTGGCCACCAGATTTGGTGATAATTACTCGAGTGGCCACGCCAGGGGATTCCCGCTGGTTTTTGTTTTACCCAGCGCATTACCCTACAAGGGTTTGTATCCCCGAAGCCTTTGTACTGATTAATGTGCAAAGTTCAATATCTGAAATTTATGATCGTGACCCCATATGACCGTGCCTGATTGGACGCGCATTGCAAAACAAAGCCCCATGCATTTAATAGACCAATCACGCGCGGTCATCTAATGTCCCGCGCATTGACGCCCGGCCATTGCAGTTTATGATCGCGGAAATATATGATCGGGCATTAATATATGATGTGCCCGACCATTAATGACGCACATGATTGGTCGACTATATGCGCGTCCAATCAGGCGCGGTCATAAGCTCAATTGATTATAGATACCCATTAACAAGTAACTAAAAGCCCATACATTATAATAATAAAAGAAAAATATATTGCATATATAAGAACAAATAGAATTGCAGTCTTTATAATGCTTATAAAAATGCTCTCAGCACAAGGCATTTCCCTTTGTTTTCTGAGGAGTTACCTGAACTAAGGTCTTTATACAAAGGAAGGTTACAGAAGCAAATGCCATTATGATCCTTTTCCCTATATTAGACCTATATTTTAGATAACATAATTTATCATAAAGAAAATTGATAATTGCGCGATTTTCAATTTACGCGATGATTTATAATGGATGTTTTCGCGTGATGCTTTATATTCGAAATTTATGTTCGTGAAAAAAATGTCAGCGGGAATCCCCTAGCGTGACCACTCGAGTAATTATCACCAAATTTGGTGGCCACTCGAGTAATTCAAGGCCACGCGAGTAAGGATGAATCACCGATCCAGGTTCTACAGTAATTCTCTCACCGAAGGGATGGCGAAGCTGTTTCAGGCTCGATCCACCATGGTTCATTTCAGCGATGTGTAATCTGGTGTTCTTTTGTCTTTATACTACCCTGTTTGCAGAAACTAGCTGGAGAAATGAAGGAAGAGGGAGAAAATGTGGGGGTGATAAAGAAGGGGAGTGAGTGCGCATGTTGGAGTATAAAGGGAATTGTGTCAGATTATTATAGCTGATGCATGTTTGTAGGCTATAGTGGGGTAGCACATATGGGGTACAGTTTGCTAGGGTTGTATTTGTACCCAACTCTGACTTAGTCAATTCATTCCTGTTCATTCCTTTCACATGGTATAGAGCGGGTTCCCTGTGGGAACTTCGCCTAGGGCCCACCGAAGCGCGCCCCGAGGCGCGCGATCCTTTTTTTTAGCGACCCCCCGGAGTCGCCCTTCCCCTGCGGCCCCGCCGCCCTTCGTTCGCGGCCCCGCCGTCCAGTCGCGGCCCCGCCCTTACGTCGCGGCCCCGCCCTTACGTCGCGGCCCCGCCACTAAGTCGCGGCCCTGCCACTAAGACGCGGCCCCGCCACCCAGTCGCGGCCCCGCCGCCTACTCGGACGCGGCCCCGCCGCCTGCTAAGACGCGGCCCCGCCGCCTGCTAAGACGCGGCCCCGCCGCCTGCTAAGACGCGGCCCCGCCGCCTGCTCAGCCGCGGCCCCGCCGCCCTCTACGACGCGGCCTCCGCCGCCTGCAGACGCCGCGGCCTCCGCCGCCTGCTCAGCCGCGACCCCCGCCGCCCTCTACGACGCGGCCTCCGCCGCCTGCTCAGCCGCGGCCCTGCCGCCTCCTACGACGCGGCCCCGCAGCCTGCTCAGCCGCGGGTGCTTCCAGCGGCCCTCCGCTGCATCCTGACGGCCCGCCGCTGCACCCTGCGGCCCCGCCACTGCGCCTGTCCCGGCTCCGCCACTGCACCCTGACGGCCCCGCCGTCCCCTGTCTCGGCCCCACCGCAGCA